AAAATATTTCATTCTATTGTCAAGATCTTGTCAACAATTAGCATCATGCATTTGTAAAAATATTTAGATATTAAACATCAAAAGTTATATGAATTTTACATTGTATATCTTCATAGAACTGATTGATTAATTAACCTATTATACTTTGAGAGTAACTTATAGTTTTCATTTTAATAATAAATTCTGCAGTTCAACTTAAACTAATAAATTTTCTTACCGCATCCACTAATATCAAGCGTATTTAAACAAGGAATAGTTGCAAAACGAGATGCACATTCATGAATAAATGATTCAAGTTGATTTCCCGAAAGACATAAATCAAGATTTTTTAAATGCATATTGGAATGAAGACCTTCACATAATTCTCTGTATACAAAAAGAAAACAAGAACAATACTTTTGTTTTGTTTTTTTTTTTCTAAATATATTAATTATTCCTACCTAAGAAAATCATTGGATAAATTAGCATTTGATAATTGTAAAATTTCTAATAATTGAGTTTTTGTAAAAAATAATTTGACACCACCTGATATTGATGATGAAATTGAAGATTTTATTGAAGTTATATATAAACGACGAAGTTTACATGGTAATGCTGCTAATGAATAAAAAAACTAAGGCAAAAGAAAAAACCAAACAAGAATATATTTATTAAAGAGAAAAATAAAATATAATTTTAATTTACCGATTCAAGATTAAATTCAATATCACTTAAATGTAATTCTTCTAATACATTTTCATTATTAGAAAATAGAATTGTAATACACTAAAAACAATAGTATTTAATTTTTTTCTTTATATAATCTATAACTTTACATTTTCTTCTTTAATACGATTTCCAGATAGATCAAGAATTTTAAGATTTTTCAATATATAATTATTATTAATCAATGATGAATTAAAACCATATAAACTTTTATGTGTTATTGAACATGATTGAAGATTAAAAGATCGAAGTGGTAATTTACGTTGTTGTAATGCTGTACTTAGAACATTTAAACCTTAAAACAAGAAAAATTTAAGATTTATAGATAAAATCATTCGTTAGCGACATTATGATATACGAAAAAAAAATGCTCTTATAATAGAATAAAAATTTCTAGAAAACCG